CTACATATAAACAAAATATTTTTGGACAACTTTTATAAATTAAAAATAAATAACAATATGCAATAATTGTCCGGTCAAGAGTCGGCCGTTTGGATGTCAATAGAAACTCAACCACTAGGCGGACTTGACATTTCTCCATTGACACCTCTCAGCTGTCGCTTTGTTTACATCTGATAGTTTCCTGTCTCCTTTACGATGAATGATACAACAAAATCGAATGGACGATTAATTGCCAGAATCAACAGGACAGCGAATTCGTAGTTGTCTTAATGTTCTAGTGGCGAAGTTTAGTTAAAGGAATATTGATCTAGTACAATGAGTTTGAGGAGGATTTGCAGTAGATAACGCCACCTAACACGATTCTTCAGCTATTGTTCTACTTATTATTGCATTCCCATCTCTTCGTCTACTTTATTTGCTATATGAAATTAGCCTATTTTAATAAACTTAATTTCCCAATTTATACTTAAATTAATTTAATGAACATAATAATAATTAATAACTCATAAATAATAAAAAATATAAAATATAATTGAAATAATTATTAAATGATAATAAAAAAATCCGGATAGTGCAGCGAAACAGTTTGGAAAACTTTAGAATACCGTCCCAGGATTTCGGGACACAATCGGTATGGCGGATATAGGCGATCCTCCAGATCAAGAATATATATAGATGAAAATACAGGAAACTTAAAGCTTCCGAGATATTTAACTTTAGAGTTAAAATTTCAAATACTTAATGTACGTAGTTTTTCGATTTAAAATGAATACACTTATTTTTCACTTATATAGCACTAACACTTCACTAATTCGTTTGTACGTATTCATTACATTATTATTACATTACATAGTGAAAAATAGATTTTTAATATTTAACTTATTGTTCAATTCTTTAATTCACACAATAACAAAAGAGCTGCAAAATGATAAATAACCAGTGTTACATTATCGATATCTTTGATAAATAAACAGAAATAAATAAAGTAAACAGATTATACCCAAAATACCGAAATCCAAAACGTAAAAGAAAAATATTAAGAAATTATTCCAATATAATTAATCGAAACTGTTTGTACTTTGTTTCAAAAGTAGCAGTAATAACATCCGTTAGAGAACATTCATTTTGAAAATTATGTTATACGCTCTATGACAGTTTTTTTTCGCGTGGAACTCCTTTTGTGTTTGTGGTCTACGGCCGCGCTTCAAAAATAACCCTGGTCGGTCCAACACCAGGGTGAGAACATTTTTCGCGTAGAATAAAAATAAACGGGTCGATCCAACATCAGTTGGAAGCTTCAATAATGAGTAGTAAGCGTAAGTTCTTGAAATTAAAATAAAGAGAAGTATATAGTGATTAAATTGGGACTTTTGTATAATAATCCAGCGATCGAACTCAAGTTGAGTTACAAATTAGACAATTTATCGAGAAATCCGTTATTATTCATGTCTGAATTGTAATAAATCAGTAAAGTTTTAATCGATTAAATTTTAAAATATAGTGACGTATTTCTCGACAAATCTTCTATTGGGTTCGATCACTGGATTGTTAAATAAAAGTCTAATTTAATGGCTATATACTGTTTTTAATTTCGAATCCAAAACTTATCGCTTTACTACTCATTATTCGAATTTACGAATAATTATTTAAGTTAGCTAACTGGTTACCGATAGGTTATCAGTAATTAATGTATTAGTTATCCGATAGGTTACTTTTGTTTGGTAGCCATTGGTTACAAAAACTGGTTGATCGGTTCCTCGTCCTTTCTCTGGGTTATTTGTTTGGTTATTCATTGGTTACCACTATCTAACGTTTTGGTTACCTTTTCGTTATAAATTCAACAATTTAAACTCTCATTTAATTTCATTTTTACATGTATATTTTAATTTACATAAAAAGTATAAATATTATGATTAAATTTTCCTTTCTATTTTCAAACTAAAATTCCCTTCTTACAATAAAATTTTTAACATTTGGGTAATATGTACTTAATGACCTCCACTTCGGAGGGTTTTGGGGTTGCAGATGGTAGTGAAGGAGGTCTGTGAAATATAATTTCAGTGGATTTAGCCGTCGGCCGCCCTTCAAAAATTATATGAAGGGTAAAATTTCGTGAAAACAGCATATTCCCAAATTCAACCCTGGTCGGTCAAAAACCGGGGTGTTCATAATTCAATCGCGTCAAACTCCTTTCTGCAGTGGCGGCCTTCGGCCGTGCTTCAAAAATAACCCTGGCGGTCCAAACCGGGGTGTTCATAATTCAATCGCGTCAAAATCCTTTTCGCTGCTGTTTGTGCAGAAAGGAGTTTGACGCAATTGAATTATGAACACCCCGGTTTTGGACCGACCAGGGTTATTTTTTTGAAGCGCGGCCGAAGGCCGCCACTGCAGAAAGGAGTTTGACCAGGGTTATTTTTTTTGAAGCGCGGCCGAAGGCCGCCAGTGCAGAAAGGAGTTTGACGTGATTGAATTATGAACACCCCGGTTTTCGACCGACCAGGGTTATGTTTTTGAAGCGCGGCCGAAGGCCGCCAGTGCGGAAAGGAGTTCGACGATCTCCGATATTCATTCATTCCATAATAACGCGGCACAAAAGAAATTTTGACTATTATATTTCTTCAGTATATTTTTTTCATAAGAAAATTTTTAACACACTGAACTGGTAATTACAGCTAAGAGATCTCAATTCTACAGAATTTTGCCGCTACAACAACAACTAAGTGACTTGAATATATGATATGTGCAAAGTGTGTAAATAAATATTGAAAAATATACATAAATTATTGAAAAAATTCACTTTCCGCTCACGGATTTGTAATCTACATAACGTTTTTTTGAGGGGTGACCGACGGGTAATTCCTTCAAATTCATAAAAAGGACACTTAATTGTGTCACCCCTTACAACCCCAACCCCCTACGAAGTGGGTGTCATTAAGTACATATTTACCGAATTAAAATTTCATGTAATAAAAAAAGGTTTATAAAAATAAAAAAGAGAATAAGAAATTATTTGTGATAGGATTTGAACTTAGGCAAAATATTTGATGTTGCAATAAGGAATTCTGCTATACTAGCAGTACCACAGGCAATATTACAAGAAGTGGGTTTAATGTGTGTACTCAAACAGCTATCGTCGTGTACTTCTTTCAAATTAACAATTTGTATGTGAATATTCTCCAAATTGCCTTACCTTCATTCGCATGTCCAAATATTTTTTCACGTATGTACACATATTTACATATGTATGTATATACCTCAATATGCCTTTTGTAAAAAATCAAATATTCGCGCAAGTGACAAAAAACGTAGACGCACCATCATCGACCAATTATATTCAAGCACATATAAGCCGTGAGATATTTTCTAAGTATTTTATATTACAACGACAAGAAATTCATTCATAAGGAACGTGCGTCTGTTTCAAAGCAAAGTGCGTTCATTCATAGCTCTGCGCTGTAGTATTTCAAAAGAGCATAAGTCAATTATAAATCATAAGTCAAAGCAAAGCGCTGCAAAAAGGACAAACGAGACAACATAGCCGACCGACGTTGTCGTAAAATTGTCGATTGAAACAAATTTTGTCAACTCCGCGACGATTCGCACAATTTGGTGTAAATATGTATGCGAGCTCATATTTATGTATATATATATGTATATATGTTTGTCGACAAAGTCGTCTTTTGAATTTTTTGTCCCCTGACCCCTCATTGCTTGCGATCGTTCAACTTGCTTCTCGCAAAAAACAAAAAGTGTAGACAAAAGTCATTGTTTGTGCGGGGCAAGAAGAAGCAAGCATCAGCGTAGAATTGTATTTAAGAATGTATGTGTTATTGTCACATTTGTGTAAATACGCATAGTAAGGAAATATTCAATTAACCTAAACATATGAACATATTTTCCTGAAATATTTTAATTATCTCAGGAAGTAAAATATGCTATTATAGTATTTTAATTGAGATATGTTAAGACTCCAATTAATAAAGTATTAAATTAAATTAAATTGAAGTTGCATGAGTTTTAAGATTCGAACTTATATGCTCGTATTTGGGTTGATCTTAACTCCTTCACGCTTACGATCTCAGCCACCTCAAAAGTGGAAACGCGGCCGCTTAGCCACCGTTTTATTGTTATCCTTTGCTCAATAAGCAATTACTCAAACAACGCACATACATAAGTTGGAAAATTTGCCTATTAAATGTTTATTTTATTATAAACTCTAGGGTTTTTACCGGTAACACAGCTTTTTAATTCAGAAGGTTTTCATAATTATAAATTTTGTCATATCATAGAAATTGAAAAACACATCTAAATAGGTATACACGACGATAATTCATTTACGAACATTCGTTGTGTCTATTTGTAGCATTTCGAACATTGCGAGGTGTATTTTTCTTTTTCGAAGTTATATAATTCGATGTTCCCTCATCAGGAATTACACATTTGTACTCAAAAAGATTTTATTTAACATTTTCGCAGTCTCTTATCATTACCATTATCTGATAATAATTACAGCAGTACAGCAACTGTGTTGAATATTTGCTGATACTCTGCCGATGAGCAGACAAAACTTTAGTGTGTCGATTATTTGCATAAATAGCGTGCAAAAAATGACAGTAGAACGTCATGCTGTTGCAAGTGTTGCCAGAAACTCATACAGAACGTGACACTTTCACAAATTTGCAACGCTGCTGTCGTTGTTGCCATCTAGAACGAACCCATACTACACTATCATTATTTTTTTGTTAAAAATCTTATATATGGTTTATAGATAGTTAATATTGTTTGGGTAACTTTTATAGGTTACAATAATAGTTACATTTATTTATTAATTGTTAATATCCGCACATTAGATACATACATGCCCCTAATTAAACAGTATTATTTTAAATTAATTAATTTAGTACTTAACACTAATAGGTATCTTAAATTTTATAATTTAAAGAGAACTTTTCATCGAAATTTGTAAATATCTAAAATGAGTAAAAAAGAATTAAAAATTGTTTTCTTTTTTATTTGTTAAAGTATATATATTATATTTTAAAAATAAATGCATGCAGGTTTGTAGACAACTCATATAAAAAGTTGAGGATTACAATATTTACCATCGTACTTTACATAGATATGTTATCTACAGTGGTTACCTTGACTACCTTAACGTGTACGTTAAAAACGTCCAAAATTTTACTGTACCTTGAACTTGTATAGGTAACCAAAGAAAATGTTAAATTCTCAGCAGATGATATTTTCTAACCAAACAAAAGATTTTAGGTTAATATGAATCTTCCATTTTAATTTTTTTGGTACAATGAACCAAAAAAAACAATTTAAAAAAAAATTACACATTTCAGTTCGATACGCAGCAACCATGGCGAAATGTGTGCTGGCATCTCATAATAGACAGTTACGAATTCTTGGTCCTGACCTCATAGTAGACATTTACGTATTTTTGATCTTCTGCGGTGACATTCCTCTGCGTATAAATAGCTGTGTTGGCCGCTACCTTCCGCAAGGAGGTGTACTCCAAACGACACAGCACATTCTTAGCCTTCTCGACGCCGCACACTCAATGTTGAGTTATTTGACGGCACACCAGCAAAAAGTGTCATCTAAAAAGACTTAAAAAATACACAAAGTAAATCTATAAGTAGTTCATTTAAGCATTGCTCAGCCATGCTTACCCATGTAGCCCGTTCACCCAAACTCTGTGCGACCAAAGAACCCACTATTTCGCAAAGGTTAGCTAATGCAAGGCAATGCAACCTAGAGAAGGCAAGACAATGTAAGTAATTGGTCTTTCCAACTCTAACTTTAAAGCACAAAATAGGGCAACCTACCTTGGAATCACCATTGGGAAAAATATCACTCGATTTCCAGCTCGGGCAGCGCACTGAGAGTATTCCTTGGTCTTCTGCAATTATTTTTATTCAATTCTTTAGAAAAATAAAATTCAAGAACTTACCTTCTTTATAAACGCCTTTTGAATTTATAAAACAATTTTATATAAAATTTTTTCCAAATAATACACATGAAAAGGAGGAAAGACGAAGAAACCATGCCGCTCGTTCACGCGTTGTGTTGGGATGAACGATTGCACGCAAAAATGTGTAAGCGTCATAAGTCATGTATGTGCATGTTGAGACGAGGACTGTTTTTGCCGCCCTAACCGGTTTTCGTAGGCAAGGGAACGACGAGGGAAGACGAAGGGACCGTGTCGCTCGTCCTCGGGTGGCACGCTTTGTGTTTTGTTTTGTAACAACTCGCTGCTACGCATTTCGGCATTCCTTTTAATTTTGCAATTCCTTTCATCATCGCAATCACAATCCCTTTTAATAATTCACTTAATTGGCAAATATGTTGCCAATAGATAAATTATTTATTTAAAAATTACCAAAATTTTTTCCTATAACATTATTTAGTTAATTTCACCAGAAATTTTTTACTATAAACTAATAAATTAAATTTATTTCACGAATTAACGAAAGTGTTTTAGTTTTTATATACAACTTACAGGCCATTTGTCAGTTTTCTATGTTGGGTTTTTTGAGTCTTATAAAAAATAAACCAAAAAACTTTTCTTATTGCTATTGACAACAATGTGATATTGTTTGTTACGCAATCAAAAAAAAAAAATGTTCAATTCTATGCGTATTTGAATCTAAGTTCCAATTTCTCAACGTTGTATGCGTAAGCAATGGAGGTCATCGTACGACTATAAGAATATTGGCATTCTACTTAGTTGCGAAATGTACACACATACATATGCAAGTTATGTAGTCTCAGCTTGAAGCAATTTTGAGATTGAATTTTTGTATCAAGTTGGAAATTAATGTAATTTTTCTTTTGTTTGTTATTCTTTTGTCAACATACTTATTTTCTGATGGTTTGACAGTTTTATCAGAGTTCACGGAAAACTTTTTTTTGGGTAAACTCTTGGCGGAGAATATATAATATATTATAGAGAAGTTCCATGATTCTGCCTATATTTCGGTACAAAACATATACGTATGTATATATGTGCAAATTGACCTAATTCATGATGAACTCCAGAAAATTTTTTTTTATATATAATTAAGTAAGGTTTGTATTATTACCTAAATATGTAGTTAATATAGGTTGTATGAGTTTTATATTTATATAATTATTTATTTGCTTTGGTCATTGAATATTTTGTTAACATCTGAAAAGACCTAGGGGTCACACATATGCAAATTATGTTTTTGCGTCAAGCAAAACAATTTTTAAAAAGTTCGAAGGTTTTACATCGCTTCGACCGAACGTATCTTTATTTCAGTAATTCTCAAAAGACTGACTTAAATATAAATCCAAGCTTATTTATAGGCTTACAAAATTGTTTACTTATTTTTAGTTTCACAGAATTGTGAAATGGTTTAATCTTGAAATGAAGATAAAATAAGAACATTTCCATGTAGCTGCAAAGATGCAGAAGGCTTGTTAATGTCAACAATAGCCACTTGTGTAAACAAAGTGTGTTCTTTTAAAGAATGACTTCCAATATAATTTATGAGAAGAATCAATTATGATTTTGTTTACAATTACGGTAAAGAAGCTGTGTGAAGGCTGTCGTTAACTCCCCCCTCCCTAAGATGAATCGTCCCCGATTCAATTTTATTTTTCAAAAAGCTATAAAAATATAGAAATAGATTGAATGTCTTTTAATATCTTCATTTTTCTTACCCAGAAAATTTATATTTTCTAATTTTAAATGTTCATTTGTAGTTTCCATATATTCTAGTATTTTAAAATTATTAACATGATTTTGCGTTAGATAGTTCCAAATCTTAGATTCAATATTCACATAAGTTATATTATTTATTATTGTTTGATTTTCAAATGTAACTAAATATGTTCCTGTTAAGTTTTGTTTTTCTACTTTATTTTTACCTGAAATTAATATAACACCTTCTTTAATTATTTCAATATTATTGTTTCTTTCCTTAATCTTTTTACATTTTGCAGGTTTTTTATTCAAAAGTTCTGAAAAACATGTTTTTTCTTTATTCAATTTGCAGTAAGTGCTTGTTATTTCAGTTTTACAATTTTTTACATTAAGAAATTCATTGTTGCAATTTATTACATTTTGGTCAATTATCAACTTACCATCTAGTTGCGCTATACTTCTAGTTTCATAATACTTACAAGTAAATAGAATTTTTGGATATTTAATATAAATTATGATTACATTATTTTTCTGAGCAATTTTAAATTCTGATATGTCCATTAAATCTGTAATTGACATTAAACCATTTTGATGGTCGGTTATATTTTTTAATTCATCCAAATGTAAGATTACTGGGTTTAGTGTTCCCACTTTCCCAAGAGTGATTGTATTTATTAAAATTTGAAGCTCGTGCTTTATGTACTGATTTCTTTTCTTCTTTAACGTTTCAATAAACGAATCTCCTTTAATTGTATTTACTGTATTGGTTATTTCAGTAATAACCTTAAAGATTTCTGAATTCGTAGTAAACTGTTTATTATTATTCTCAAACAACTCATCTAATTTGTCATTAATTTTTATAAAATCATCGTGATCAGGGGTTCCTGCTATCCATTTTCAAAGTGTTCCCACTTCATTTATTCCTCTTCTTTGTCTGAAACCCCTTTGTTTTAGTTGCCCTAATAGAACTTCGATTAACACAATATCAGATTCGTCATCTAAACTTTTTATGCTCAATTTATCACAATTATTTTTGGTAACTAAAAATGGAATATTATAGAAGTTTGTTTTTTCTTCCTTTACTAAATTTTCTAAATATGTTAAATTTTTTATATGAAAAATATCACCATAATCCTCGTATTCAGAGGCGTATCCATTTTCGATTAATACATAATTTTGTCTGGTGTAATCCACGATGTCAGCAGTTATTGAGCCGAACAGGGATGTAATTATTAAAAATATCATTTTAGAAATCTGTGAAAAGTTAGGATTTAACGTTATCCTTATGTATGATTCTATCTCTATTATTTATTATTATTTTATTTTCTAAATTTTCCTTAACTTGTTGTTTTTTATACCTAGGTCTGAGCTTATTCCTCTCTCCTATGACCTTTTCATAAACGATTTGGCCGGGACAATATTGTTTTTCTATCCTATTTTTGTTATGTGTTATAAGCATTTTTTCTTGTGCTTTTCTAAGCATTATTGGTAAAGTCTCATGATTTACCTTATTGTAAAGTACTTCATTAGGTTTCAAATTCGTTACTGAATGAATTGTCACATTATATTGTTGAGCTGCTCTAAGGATTGTTTCAAGGTCGCTAACTATGTTATATTCTTCTTTTATGCATCTAGCGATTTCAATTATAATTGAATAGACTCTTTCTATTTGTCCATTTGTTATGCTATGTCTCGGATTGCAAAAATTAATTTCGATATTTAGTCTTTGCATTAAAGATTTGAAAGTTGGTGCTGTAAAGCTTGGCTCATTATACAAAGTTATTTGCTTTACATCAGTGAAAGTTTGAAGTAGTTCCAGAAGTTTTTCTTCGATATTAGATTTATCTTCTATATGTTTTATTACCAAAAACTTTGAATAAGCATCTATACATACAATAAATTTTAATTTTTGCGCGTAAAAAATATCTAAGTGAAGCTGTTCCCCTTCTTTTTCTGGATTTGGAGCTTAACCTATTGGAATTCTTTTGGGATGTCGATCATATTTATTTTTGTTGCAAATAATGCAATTACAAATATATTCTTTCATTCTTTTCCTCATTTCCGGCCAATAATACATTTTCTCTATTTGTTTAATATTTTCATTAAAGCTACGATGAGCCCTATTATGAGTTTGTTCAATAATTCTGGATTGATCCTCTTTATTAATAATATCCATTGGAAAACGATTTGTATACACAAACTTATTTTGAAAAGTTTGTTTCAGAGGTCCTTGGATTTCATATAAATCCTCTATTGTACAATGAATTGCCGTTACCAATTTTGGTTGAATAAATTCTTTTAAAATAGTTAACAGATTTTCTACCGTATCATATTTTATTAAATGCCTTTTATTCCCGAAACTTTCAATCAACTCGTGAATTGTGAATCCATTTTTACATAAAATTATTTGTTGTTTAAATTGGTTTACAGGTTTCGGTGTCTCCTGTATTCGAATACTTTCACTACTTTGTGCTGAATGCTGTGAATTGTTATTTTCTAAATCTTCTGGATCATCAGACATATTATTTAATTCGAGGCGTGACAGCGCATCTGCCACAACATTAGTTTTACCAGGCTGATATATAAATTTTGGAGCAAACTCCTCTATAAAAGCATGGCATCTTTTCATTTTCGGATTAGGGTTACGGGGTGACAAAGCAAATGTCAAAGGTTGGTGATCAGTATGTATTTCTAGATTTGTAACACCATATAAATAATTTCTAAGTGTTTTCAATGCCCATACAATGGCAAATAATTCCTTTTCATTAGTTGCATAATTTCTTTCTGTTTTATTAGGAGTTTTTGAAATAAAGGTAATTGGTTTACCTTCCTGTGAAAGCACAACACCAACTGCTACATTTGATGCATCGGTAGTTAAAACAAATGTTTTTATTTAATTCCTTTTCATTAATTGCATAATTTCTTTCTGTTTTATTAAGAGTTTTTGAAATAAAGGTAATTGGTTTACCTTCCTGTGAAATCACAGCACCAACTACTACATTTGATGCATCGGTAGATAAAACAAATGTTTTTGAATAATTTGGTTGCGTCAATTCCATTTCTGACGCTAAATGTTTTTTTAATTTATTGAATGCAGAAATTCCATTTTGGTCCAATTCAATTTTTAATTTTTTTGACATATTTTCGGAAACTCTTCCATTTTCGCCTGAAAGGTATCTTTTTAATGGTTTTGCTATTGTAGCATAGTAATTAACGAACTTTCGATAATATCCTGCAATTCCTAAAAATCCTCTCAATTCTCGTAGACTTACGGGTATTGGGTAATTTAAAATCAATTTTATTTTGTTGAGATCTGTTTTGATCACATTTTGGGCTATTATGTATCCTAAAAATTATATTTCTTTTTTAAAAAATTTTGATTTCTCAACTGAAATTTTCATATAAGCTTCCTTCAATATTTCTGTAATTTTTTCCAAATCCTGTCCAAATTTGACAAAATTATATTGGTATCCGGAATGGGATATCTATCAGAAATGGTATGTTCATTTAATCCTTTCTTTGGTACCACCCAAATTGGTGAGTTATAAGGACTCTTACTGGGTCTTATTATATTTTCATTCAACATTTTGTCAATTTCTTTATTTATGAAGGAATTTACGGATAAAGGATATGGGTACTGCCTACTCCAGACAGGTTCAATACTCTTTGTTCTAATCTCTGCTTTTACATTTGTCATAAACGGAAAACTAGTATTTATATTTGAATGTGTATTTAAAATTTTTCCTTTAATATGTTTTTTAAATTCTAAGAGTTTTTCGTTGAAAAAATTATGACGAGATTCTTCAAAAAAAATTTCCGTAACATATTTTTTATAATTCGACAATTCTCCATTGCCGCTATTCCGGTCCCTATTCTCACGTATATCCGAATAATTCTCGTTTAGCATCGAAAAATTTTCAGTTATATTCGCATTACACTCATTATGCTGCGACAAAAAATATTTATTTAATATAATATTGCCAGAAAAATCTTCGGCTGGCTTTGTGGAAACTTTTTGTTCCACAATATTTTTTCATTTTTATTAACTTTGCTTTTGTTACTGCCGGTATTACCATCGGCGGGCGCCTTAGAACTTTTGTGTTCCAAGGGGTTTAAATTTTCTTGACTCTCATCATGAAAGTTTATTTTTATATTTTTTTCCACTAATTTCTGACCTTGTTGTATTTTGTAAAATATTTTTCCACTGCGCAAATCAATGTGCGCTTCTATTTCTTTCAAAAAATTATATCCTAGGAGCAAATCTGATCCCAAGTTGTCTATTTCATAGAAAACCTATTTTACCCCAAACAAAGATATTATATGATAATATTTTATTATTGAGTAACCAATTATGGTTTTGACTCTTTTATAAATTGCCAATTCATTTTTGTTTTCATAAATTCCCTGCTTTATGTAGCAAGAAGTTGCTCCTGTATCGACAAGAGTTTTAAATTTTTTATTTAATTTATAATCGCAGACTGTGACTTATGGGAGGGTATCCCCTCTTCTTCTAAAAAATTATCTTCCCGGATATTATTAATCCCTTGAGCTTTTCCTTGCGGCCTATAGCTATTTTCGCTTTCTCTAGCGCGTTTTACTCCATGGTAATTTTGGGTTTGAGGACTATTTGCATTAGGATTTGAATTATTCCATGCGGGCCTCGTATTTTTATTAGTAGTATTTGCGTTTTGGTGTACTTGGGCATTATAGTTTCCATTATATATTCTGGAAACAGATGGATCTACGTCCATCGGTTCATGTTTTGAGTAACTACTCTGTTGATCTTTAACAAAATTATTTGCTTGAGTTTTGGGAAAAGCATTCTGTTGCTCCCCTGAATAATTATTTCACCGGGGAAATCTTAAATTGTTGCTTGGGTAATTTTGTCTCACCCTTAATTGTTCGTTCGCAAAATTTTGTGCAAAACGCGCTCTTTGGTTATTTGACTCAAGCTCTTGAGCCTTTGCTAAAGCGTCAGGGAGGTCCTGAGGATTCAAGCAGAAAATTATATATCTTAAGGGTTCATTTATCAAGTTATAAATATTATAATGGGAATGATTCCGATT